CATGCCCACCATCCTCTCTACTTCTTTGGCTATATTGTAATATAGTACCAGAAGCCAGCCTGATGCCAGCCCCACACTTTTGGACTTTATAGCTACTAGAAGCATAAGCCAAAAAACCTCTATTCTTTTTACATCAGTCAGTGTCAGGTATTTCTTTTAGCAACACAATAGTCAACCAAGACAGAGAGGAAGAACTCAAGGCTATGTTTTTGTGCTCTTCCATACTCTGGATCTATGGTGGTTCTTTCATCTCTTTTAGGTCTCAGTTCCTCAGAGAGGCTGCTCTTGCTCTCTCTACCCTCTGCTCATTTCTTTTACCTTATGAACCAGTTTCATTTTTTTTCTAAAATCCTTACCAGATTCTAAAATTATTTGCTTTTTCATTTATTAAGGTATTTATTTCTGCTTATTTTTTAGTTTTGCTAGAGGGAGACTAAACAAAGAAAGCTCTTAAAGACAATAACTTGGGACCAGCAGTTAGCATAATGGCTATGTCACTGGACTCCCATGTAGTCGACCACAGTTTGAGTCCTGGACCCGGTGGGGGCACGTGTGTGTGCGTGCCCAAGATTCCGAGAGGAGAATGGAGGAGAAGGGATTCCGGCGTGGCCATCTCTCCTGGGGGGTGATTTCTTGCTTTCTGTCTCTCTCTGTCTCTCCGGTGAGTGCACGCGCCCTATAGCAAAAACCTCTCCCTGAAGTCGAACTTTAGCCAGTTTTATTAAAGATATTTTTCATAAATAATCCTGGTCTTTCAGGCAAGACATGGGCAGACAGTCATTAAAAGTATACAACAACTTGTAAACTCCCTTCTTCAGTGGACTACCAAAATCAGAAAGCCACTATAAAACCCAGCGAAGACTTCATTTGATGCTCTGAACAGGGAAAGTTTAGCGTGAGGGTTGATATTTCACATTTAGCATGTTGCTTAACAACTTTTCACGAGCCGACCCTGACTTTTGGGAAATGAAAATGGCAGAATAACCAACCTGGAGACCCAGCAATATAGAAAGGGAACTGTTTCTCTTTTGAAGGACGCCATCGTAATGTCATTGCAAAGTCCAGATTGCCTGACATGCTGGTAACCAATTTTTTGTGGTCAGGTCCCAACAGGTCTCTGGTTTAAGGGAATTAAGTCTACGCTGAAAGCAGAAAGGGAGAGGACATAAAAACAAATGCTAACTTTTCCACCCCACAAGGCATCTGTGCCAAGGTGGCTTTGTGTGTCAATATTGGGGAATCCCTCCTCTTGGGACCCAAGAAGTCTCTCAAAACTAGAAGGGAGAGACCAGCAGTTAGCGTAATGGTTATGTTGCTGAACTCCCATGTAGTCAACCGCGGTTCAAGTCTTGGACCCCATGGCTTAAACTCACGCTGGGCGTGTGTGTGTGTGCGTGCCCAAGATCCCGAGAGGAGAATGGAGGAGAAGGGATTGTGGCGTGGCCATCCCCCCCTGAGGGGCGATTTCTCACTTTTGTCTCTCTGTCTCTCTCTGTCTGGTGAGCACATGCGCCCTACAGCAAAAACCTCTTCAAAAAAAGAAAAAAAAAAACTAGAAAGGAAAGATGTTTTCTATATCAATCCAGCTTCAGAGACTTTCTATTAGTGACAAATGCCTCTTCTCTGATAGACTTCTTTGTGGTTCGTTCTTCACTTTGGCTTTATCTCCTTTAGCATCCCCTTCAGCCTTTCTCTTGGGCATGGTGGCGACCATGGTGGGATGCAGGTGCTGAATGCGGGGATGCAGTGGCATGCAGGCTTTGGTAGGTCCAGGGGTCGCTCTTGCCTCTTCCTCACACTGCTCCTGGAACCTGAATCTTTTACCCAGGGCAAAGCATACCTTCTTGTGCTCTGGAGGGTAACACTAAAAAAAAAAAAAATTCCTTGAAAAGATACTCTGGAACAAGGACAGTCAGTGCTTCTGATGTTAGACGTGCTGAAATGTCAGCCAGCCATAAACAATTGTCTCCCCAAAGTCAGTCAGTAAGAAAGTCTGGAGTGCTCACAGAAGTGTGGACAAAGTTGAAGACTGAGAGAGAGAGTAGACTTTGTGAAAGTCTTCAGATCCCATCTTATATGTAACACGTTTTTTCTTGCATTAGTGAGTATTTGCCATATAACAAACCATCCCAACAACTTAGTGGCTAAAAACAACCACCACTTTTTTAGCTCATAATCCTGTAAGTTGGCTGGGTGGTCCTTCTGGTCCTGGTGAGCTCTGCTGATGTCAGTCTAACTCACACATGCATCTGCTGGTGATTCTCTTGGTTATCAGACGAATCCAGGAAAACAGAGGGAACTAGCGAAGTGTCTATTGTTACCCAGAAGACAAGCCCAGGTAAACACATAGTTCTCAGAGCAGCAAGAAAGCAAGCCCCATGTGTGGGCACTTTCTAAGTTACCTCTGCATCACATTTTCCAAAGCCCTATAGCAAAAGCAGGTTATACAACCAATCTGAATTCAAGGGTAGAGAAATAAAAATAGATTGGGGATTCTGTGGTTTAGGTAATAATTTGTCCTCCAAAGGTTCATATTCTCGACTTTGGTCCCTAGTGTAATGGCACTGGGAGATGGTAAGACCTTTAAGAGGTGAGGCCTAGTAGGTAGCATTTGGGTCACAGAGGCATCACCCTTCATTATTGTCTCTTGAGACAGAGTAGGTTCTAGCTCTTATGAGAAGGGGTTAATTCCTGTGAGAGTGGGTTGTTACAGAAGAGAGATGGCTGCTCCTAATTCACACTCTCTCTGACATGCCCACCATCCTCTCTACTTCTTTGGCTATATTGTAATATAGTACCAGAAGCCAGCCTGATGCCAGCCCCACACTTTTGGACTTTATAGCTACTAGAAGCATAAGCCAAAAAACCTCTATTCTTTTTACATCAGTCAGTGTCAGGTATTTATTTTAGCAACACAATAGTCAACCAAGACAGAGAGGAAGAACTCAAGGCTATGTTTTTGTGCTCTTCCATACTCTGGATCTATGGTGGTTCTTTCATCTCTTTTAGGTCTCAGTTCCTCAGAGAGGCTGCTCTTGCTCTCTCTACCCTCTGCTCATTTCTTTTACCTTATGAACCAGTTTCATTTTTTTTCTAAAATCCTTACCAGATTCTAAAATTATTTGCTTTTTCATTTATTAAGGTATTTATTTCTGCTTATTTTTTAGTTTTGCTAGAGGGAGACTAAACAAAGAAAGCTCTTAAAGACAATAACTTGGGACCAGCAGTTAGCATAATGGCTATGTCACTGGACTCCCATGTAGTCGACCACAGTTTGAGTCCTGGACCCGGTGGGGGCACGTGTGTGTGCGTGCCCAAGATTCCGAGAGGAGAATGGAGGAGAAGGGATTCCGGCGTGGCCATCTCTCCTGGGGGGTGATTTCTTGCTTTCTGTCTCTCTCTGTCTCTCCGGTGAGTGCACGCGCCCTATAGCAAAAACCTCTCGGTGGGGGGGGGAGACAATAGCTTATCTTTAGCAACCAGAGAAGGGCCTAGACATAGTAAATGTCAATAACTGAATAATTGCCTGTGCTTGCTCTATCTAGTGCAGTCTTCCTGGCCCAGCATCTTGACTCTTAAGGTGGCCAAAGGGAGCCTTACTTTAGAAATAAATCTTTCCTAATCTAAGAATCATGAGGTCTGTTTCCCTGTTCACACTATCCTTCCAGAAGAGGCTAAAGAGAGTCTCTGGCCACTCGCAAAGCTTCCATTCCCTGTAGCTCTGGACCTGTGGAGGGACAAACCTTTGGAGGAACAATCAGGGAACTTCTGCTATTTAATTCTGTCAAGTGAACTGAAGTGTATCCAGAGGGGCCCTCTCACCTCCAAGTGGTCCTCTAGTTTCTTAGGTCTGTTAGTAAACTTTTAATACCCTTGGTCTCTTTGGTTTGTGGTCCCACAGGAAGGTACACAGATTGACTCATTTGTTCAGACATCCTTGACAATACCTGGCTGAGTTTGCTCCCCTGCTTTACTGAGTCCACAGCTCAGTAAGGAGACAGAGCAAGGCCCTTGCGTTCTAGAGGAGTCTGCGTGGGTACTTTTCCTTAAGTAGCCCTGACACCTACTAGCTACTGTGGTTAAATATCTTTGGAGGAAAAAAGGTGTTCTATGTATTTCAGAAGGCTAGAGGTTGTATTAATGGGGTTTACAACCGTGACTAGTACCTATAACTAGAATCATGCCATCCCAGCGAGTTAGAACTAGAAACACCTAGAGACAATAGAGTTCTGTATCTTCCCATACTGATGAAGAGATGAAGAGTTATAGTGACACAGCCCAGAAAAACTAAGACAAGAATTAGGTTTCTTTGAGCTACTTCTACGGTTCTCAGTCATTATCCAGTAGAGGTCGCATTATATATGTTTGTTTTCCATTGTTGTCACTGTGTTAATGACACAGCTTTTCTAAGACAGTTTTGTTTCTATTCTTTATCTTCTGGAAAGCTGTGAGATACACACACACACACACAAATATATTTTATATATTCTAGGCCATTATAAGTATTTGCTTCCTGTCCAGGGTGCCAGCTACAGAAGTCAGCATAGTTTTGCCTTGGAATTACGTTTTTACTTTTTTGGCGAGTTCATTGGCCCTGTTCCTTGGATGCAGGGCTAGCTCAGGTGACTGAGAACAATTTCAGTGACCACAGGAATGCTGGTCCTGAGAGGCATATGGTGGAGCTCTAGGCTCTACCATCCTCACAGCTTGAATGCCAGAGGCCAGTCCTTGTCCATGCTTGTGAAGATCACATTAAGCAGCACTGTGTTTTCTTTGTGTGCCAGAGATTTCACTAGGTGATGCTCACAGAGCATGTCAAACTCTTCACTTACAGTTTAAGCCTGTAAAGAATTCTTACTGGTCAAATTGCCTTAATCTCTTATGATAACAATTTATTCATATTTCAGAGAGACTGGAATCAAAGAAATCTAGTGACCTAGGAAACTTGTTTCTTTAGATAGGTCATCTAAGTGATAACTGTACTATTGCCTGGGATTTACCTAGTGCTCTTCCTTCTAGGAGTCTGTGTGCTTTTAAAAGAATCCATTCATCTTGAGTACTCTTGAGAAGGATTACTGTCAACAGAATGTTTTCCTGTAAGAGGAAGAAAAGCAAAGAGATATTATCTGAAATCACAGGAGATCAGCTATAGACTAGAATCCAGAATGCTACAGAGCAGGACAGTCAGCACACACTTGATCAGGTGATGTTGACTTTTTTATGAGTCCATCTTGGTGGCATTGGCAAATAAAGGTGTGGCCTTAGGTGTTACCAGGCCCTTGCTTAATCAGTCATTTTTTTTTTCCATTGAACTAAGTTGGTGCCTCAAAATCCCCCCCCAACAATGCTCACTTAGTTCAGTTTGGGGTGGGTGGGATCCTCTTTGCTGTTTATGAGCTTGAGAAGGATTACTGTCAACAGAATGTTTTCCTGTAAGAGGAAGAAAAGCAAAGAGATATTATCTGAAATCACAGGAGATCAGCTATAGACTAGAATCCAGAATGCTACAGAGCAGGACAGTCAGCACACACTTGATCAGGTGATGTTGACTTTTTTATGAGTCCATCTTGGTGGCATTGGCAAATAAAGGTGTGGCCTTAGGTGTTACCAGGCCCTTGCTTAATCAGTCATTTTTTTTTTCCCATTGAGCTAGTTTGTAGCCTCAAAATCCTCCCCAACAATGCTCACTTCAGTCAGTGTTGGGGTGGATGGGATCCTCTTTGCTGTTTATGAGCAGGGGTTGGACTAAATGCTAATCCCGTCTTGTCTTTTGCCTGAAGTATCTATATCAAAATCCCAAGGTAGTCATTGAAACATCTTTCTCATCTGAAAATGCTACAATGCTAACTGTTATTTCACTTTACATGGAAAGTTCATGTGGGAAAGAAGATACTATGGGGATAGGTCAGGGGCCCCTAAGGAGCAGGACTTTGTAGTTACTGTGAAAGAGTAAGCTCAGGATTGGGGTGATCTGTCACTTATTCAAGTCAGCTCAGATACTTTATATTGCCATTGTTAAATATGCTTTTGGTGGTATGAGAAGGTCATGTCCCTTGTGTCTGCTTTCAGGGTTAGGCTGAAGCTGTATAAAATCAGCAAGAGTTGTGGGGGTGGGGTGAAGATGAGATAGTGGTGCAGTAATAAAATGTCACTCTGTGTAGAGTGGCCCACATGGGAAGGTTCAGGGTTTGCATCTGGAGACCTTCCTGAGTATGTTGGTCATGCATGCCCATGATCTAGAGCTAGCTGGGTCTGGGGTGGATCTTGGAGTCGAGACCCTGTGGGTCTCTCTCTCTCTCTTGCTCATGGAGAAAGTAAATAATTAAACTTAATAAAATAAAATAAAGTTTCCCATTTTTTGGATAGTTAGTCTGGAATTCTCCAAGGTCAAGGCTGAGTAGAAAGTCTAGGAAGACTAGCTACCACTTTGCACTTCAGGAAGGGAAGAAGTGCATTTTTTATTTCAGGAAGAGGAAAACAACCAAGATTTGTTCAACTCAAGGATATAATTAGCTGACAAGTTTTTTTGAAGGAGACAAATTCCCCTTCAACAGATTTTTGTATCTCTGAATTTGGAAGACTACTGAAGAAAGTCAAGATCATTTGAAAAGGACTAATTATAACAGTTTCACCTTTGAGTTGATGCTAAGTGGGTGGCAGAGGTGGAAACACCCTTGTGATTTCAGTAATTTCAGGTCTATTAAGATGGAGAAGAGGGAGTGGACCTATTTTTAGTCCTTAGCATGTTGACAGCCATGATTTTTAAAATAAATGCTAGTCACAAAGTCCACTGATAGGATGTGTAAGACAAGACTTTTTGAGTTATCTAAATAGCCTTTGGCTTTCCATAGGGTGGCCCTATATAAAGCTGTAAAGGCAATTAAGCTTCCCATTCTGGTTTTAATGCACTGACCCCTGCACTGTTCTGAGAATATCATTCAATCGCAGGCTGTTTGAGTTCTCACCCTGTCCACTGGGCTCCAGAGAAGGGGTGTTCCAGGAGCCAGTCTTCACATCAAACATCTGTGGTCTCACAGAGACCCACCCAGACCCACTATTAATACTACGTGATGATGCCCAAGTTCCATTGCTGTGGGTTCTGTGCCACTGATGGACTGCTGCCTTCCCACCTCCCGGGCAGCATGGCTACCTACTGTCTGGGGCTTGTGCAAATTCATCAGCAGGTAGTTCCTGCCCTGTAGAAGAGGAGGTCATTTTAGAGACTTCTCCAAATGTTAACTGCTGCCTTTTTCCTTCACCAGTTCGGGGCTGCTTCTTCCCATTCAGACATGACTCACACCTCCAAGGCACAAGGGGCCCTAATAGGCTCTGCCTGTCTACACTTACGTAATAGAGAAGGTTGGCACCGATCCTTCTGCTCAGTAATTTTTTAGTAAATGACTGGATATGGTTCTACTTAAATTAGGTGTTCTTTGAGCACTTTCTGCTGTTAGTCTCCATGACCACTGTTTTATCTTGTTTTCTTATATCTCCAGATCTTCTCTCCTGAAAATAAATCTCCCCCTTTTTTTTTAAGTCTGTGAGATCTCCAAACAGTACTGGAGTAGGAATGAATGAAAACATCAGTGAGTTGAATTCCTTGGAACCTCCTTTCTTTCATGTTTTCCTGGACGCCTCTAAATAGGGATTAAAAAATTTTTTTTACAGGATGCTTCAATAAAACTTGAAAATAGCTACACCGTGTAAAGCATTCCAATGCTGTTTGTCACCATGTATGGTAGAAGGCAAAGCTTTTGGCTATAAGTCAGGAGGAAGCTTAGCTTTCTCAAGACCTGACTCACCGATTATAGCTTTGTGACATTAAGAAAGTTGCTTAACATTTCTGTGTTTTAGAGTACTCACTAGATGTCAACACTTTCTTAAATACATTCTTTCCTCCCCTTAGCATCCTGTGGTAGGCTAAATAATACCCCCTCTCCCTCAGCAAAGACATTCTAAACTCTGGAATCTGCAAATGTTACCTTATATGGCAAAAGACTGAATATTATCTTCCATGGATAAAGATGTGATTAAATTAAGGATTCCGGTATGGAAAGATTCTGATGTAATGCCTGGAAGTCCATAGTTGCTAATGAAGATGCACAGTATTCTAGTGAGTGACAAAAGGATTGACTTGATTAAATTGGAAAGAGTCAAATTCCAATTGGATAAATGACTTGAATGAAAATACTGGACTTTCAGTGAGATTAAATGTCGCTCTAATAAGTAATAAGATTTAAATTTGATTCATTGAATCAACAAGCATGTATTGAACATCTACTTGTTATACACAGGGCACTATAATTGATAGGTAAGGTGAGGTTCTCGACCCTCTTGGATGTTAGAATTTGATTCAACTGGAATTGGGTAGAATCTGGGCATCAGTGTTTTCTGAAAGCTCCTGAAGTGAGTCTTATGTGCATTTGAGATTGAACCATTGGATTAAATTATTGATTTAATTTGTAGAATCAAATCTACTCAAATACATGGTGGTTAGATTGTGGATCTGAGCTTGGTATAAGTGTTTATTTATTTTTTTGCATTAGAAAAAAATTATTATTATTATTCACACATTCAATTGCTATACATCATTTAGATTGTAAAGAGGCTTTACCCAGCATGATATACACCGCAGTCCAGCCCAGTTGAGAATTCTATACACATCCTCATCAGCAGATAATAAGCCATACCTGTGTCCCATAAATGTCTCACCTGTCAATCATCTTGAGGCAAATCTACCATAGTGGTACCGTGTAATCTATTCATACCAATGAGCAAGGGTAAAGTCATGGAAATCGTGTGCATAAAATACTTGGAGTGTAGGCAAGGAGATGGCTGCTAAGGTAACAGGGATAATTGGAAAAAATGCTATCAAGGTTTAGAATGGCCAGGACAGTGCTTCTCAAACTAATGTACATTTGAGTCAACTAATCTTTTAAGTTTTTGCCATAGGATGCATATATTCACCAGAGAGAGGGAAAGTGAGAAATCACCCCCCCCCCCACCTCTCTCAGGGGAATGGCCACATAGCATTCTCTTCTCCATTCTCCTCTCAGGATTTTGGGCACACATGCCCATGCAACTAGGATAAATTTCAAGGTGACTTGAACTGTGATCAGCCATGTGGGAATCTAGCATCTTAACCACCATGCTACCTACTGACCCTGAATCACCTAATTTAATGAAAATGTAGTTTCTTATGCATAGGACAGTTTCTGAATTCTTTAATTTTTAAAAATCTCCCAGATGATGCTGAGCTGGTCTGTAGACTATACCTGGCTTTAGGAGCAGTAACTGTTGTGCTGTGAAGTTTCCACCTTGCACTTAACAGGGATTTATTTTTTTCTTTTTCATTTTTTTAAATAGTGTAGGTCAAATAGAAGTTTTAACTTGCCTTATGGACATTTGCCTTAAATCTAATTTTGCTAAATGAAGCAGCCCACATACACTTACTTTGACATTGGAGAATTAGCTCAAGGGCTGGAACCCTTGCTTAGCCCAGTTCTCCCCTTTGAGGCCCGTGGTGAGTGGAAAGAGCCTGGGCTGGGGGTTATAGAACTGTGCTCTACTCTAATCTCTGCTGACTCTTCCTGGACATGAAGCTTCAAGCACGTTGGTCAAATGTTCTGAGTTGTAGTCATCCATATGTACGTGGAGACCATAATCCTTTCCACATGGAAGGTGGGGTTGTTGAGTGAATTAAGTAGCATTCTATCCATCCGAAGCAGCTATCCCAGCACCCGATATGGAATAGGTCCTTGTTCCGTATTAGTTATCCTCATGCTGTGTGCCTACCGCTGGGCTAGGCACTTCCAGTGGAGATGAATGAAATTCAGACCCCTCTTGAGATGTGGAAGGAAAACAGACAAGAAAACTGTAAGCAAAGGAGGCCTGAAGGCTCCAACCTTCAACCCCAAGGTGTCTCAGTGCTATGAGACAAGGGGACACTCTGCTCTCTTATGCATGTGTCCTCATTGTCTGACAGCAGGCTTTCTCTTGTTTTTAAGAGTAAGAGAAAACTGAACAAGTAGTCCTTCCCCTAAAAAGGCTTGATTTTGACTCTCACTTTTTTCTCCCTATGAGTTGAGCTGAAA